TAAACTGGTAGAACTTTCTTCTTATTGCCATTTACTTTCTTATATTTCTCGGCGGTTTCTTATTTCGGCGGAGTTGTTAAGGCGCTTCAAAACAGGTTGAAAACACGGCCTGAGTGCTTTCGAGTGCAGCCGGAAAATTTGCAAGCGCGCGGACGAAACTTGCAACTCTCCAGTGCTCTCAGAAAAACATCGCAGGAAATGTACAACTTTTATTCTTCCTTCAAACTCGATATCTTTTGAGTAAAGTCTGGTAATAATCTATTGAGGATGTTTGTATAGAAATTGTAAACAAAATGTTGTGAACAACAACCGACATCAAAACAAATAATTAAAACTTTAAAACTAATCTTCCACAAATATAATTTTATGAGTGAGTCAAGTTCAGAGTTTAAAATACGAACAGATCAATAAACTCCTGTCCCGTCTGTCTGTCTCGAGAGTGCTACTGCCCATTTCTTGTTGTGCTTTTTGTCCACTCAAGATTATTAATACCCGAGCGAGAGAAGACCAAGACCTCGTTAATATGACATACGCAGACGAGAAACACCGCTAATTGTGGAACCGCCGGCGGTAGCCCCCTGTTTTCAGTTTTGTTTTTTATATTTCGACTTTTTGGTTGGTTGCGTCCAACGACGAGCGCGCTGATGTATGGCGCATTAGTATAACGAAAAGGCGTTCCGGGCATTCCCATCGTTCAACCACTTAACCATTCTTCACAACAGTTGAGCTCCAACCAAATTTTAGATATCAGCATATTTCCCCCCTCGCTAACAAAAGTCAAGTCCAGCGTTTAATGTAAATTAACTGGCCGTGGCATCTAATCGTGGCTTCTAATCGATGAGCGGAAATATGCGGTCGTGCATCGTTTTACAAGCGAACGGAATTCCTGTTCGGATCCGAATCCAAGCCACGACGATGAAGCGGTATGCTCGTGTGAAGTTGTACTCGCATTAATCATCCGACGAGTTTTTTTCTCTCAAACATTTGCCTAAAGACTTGCACAGCGAAAGCCTTTAAGGAGGCAGGCACCCAATGAGTAGATTCCAAGATTATTCCATCTGATACCAGCAAAGGGTTTATAGCTGGAAGAATGTAAGCGATGAACAAAGCGAGTCTTGTCTTGGATTCTGTTGAAGCATTAATAAACCGGTGAATAATTTATGTAATTTACGTAAAGTTGACGGTGGTCCTCCCGGTGTTTTCCTTTGATACTCCTCGCGCAGTGTTTACACAAAGCGTCGCCTTAATAGTTGTCTCCTGCGTTGCGAATTTCTATCTTCTGGCGATATTCGCGAGCGATACACGAACGCGGGTAATTAAGACGTATAAGCCGAACGTCGAACATGTCCGTACCCATATTAATTACACCTTATATGGGCGAACGACGAACGACCACATCGCAGGTCTACAGAACGCCTTGTTGTTTCTTACCTCGGGTCGGATTAGCCGTTCGATTTTACTTGGTTTACTTACTTTACTTACAAGCACATGTAGGAGGCGAGGGCAATTGTTAATGTTTATGGACAATCCAATTACCATAGTCGTTGAGCTGGAGAGCTAAATGCTCGCCGACGTTGGGCTTGCATTAACGTGAAAAACGGCGTGTTCGGCGCATGCGTATCGCGCTGCGATCATCTCGTAAGTGGACTTAACGTGTGCGGTCCGCCAACGGCCTCAAACCCTATGAACAAGCGCGTGGGCGTTCGGCAACATTACCAACCGGCAGGTACCGTTTAATGTCTCCAGATTAAAGACGCTTAAACATTTACTCGACTTTTTTACGACTTTTATTGCCAGGTCAGAAATTTCATCCAAAAACTTTTTCCACCTAGCGAGGAGTTGAAAACTCGCAGTCGGCGAAAAAAATACAGGAATGTGGACGATTTAAATAGGAAACCAATAAAAATGCGTTTCCTGCTCGTTCGTGGCAGGACATTAGCAAATTCGTATTCCAAATTCGAAGGTAAATTCCAAATCGAAGTTAAATCGTTAACGCGCGGTGATTTCGTGCACTGATAAGCCGGTTTTATTGGCCTGGCCAAGGTAAAGCGGCGAGGCGCTTTCGTAATTTATATTATTGCCCCTCAACGACTCGCCAACTTCTTTTTCTAATCCACGAACATCCACGAAACCCTTTTCTTCCAAAGCGCGCGGCTGTAAGGGTTTTTAAGTCTTTTAGATCTTTACTGCTTCCTGGTGGTGTTCAAACGCGCGCTATTAGAATTGTCGCTTAGACCTTAATACCCCGTATTGGTCTACCAGACCTGCGTCTTGATAGCGTTTTCTCTTCGTGTGTGGCGCTCGCTGTGTCCGTGCGCTAAAATCTGATAAGACTTTTACGGCTGAATAAATGAGTGTTTCCCGAAACGGTGGGCGCTCGTCGTCGTCGTCCAAGCGAAATAATCAATTATACTCGAAACTTCTGCCGGGGCGCGCGCGGCAGGCTCGGGAGGGTGCACGCCGCACGTCGAGTGTTTTCTCAAATTGGAGCCACTTTACACCTGGATTAAATAGGCAGGCGCGCCGCGGAGGCCTCTCGCTGTTCGCTCGTTAATGCGCTTCCACTCGACGGCGAGCCGAGTATTTCCGTCACGCTTCGAATCGCCATCGCCATTCCATTCGTTACATGCGCCTGCCTTCGTCGTGGGTCGGTCGGTCGGGTTAAATTGGTGCCTCCTTATCGATCTGGCGTTAATTTAATATTTAAGGGTGTTGGCTGCCACTAGTGCGCACACAGCAACGCGAAGGAAGTAACGTTTTTCGACAGATAATTAATGAAATTTGGTGATATTTACTCCTGTGCTACTACGAAACGTTTCTTTTTCTCAACCGGACGAGATTTCGTCGAGATTAAGCAGAAATTAAAGGGTAAACTTTTCTCGGCTTTTAATTGGGCCTCGTTTCTTTCACTTCTTTAACAGCCGTCGCGAATCGGGCTTTTAATAAACGTGAAACGAACGTGGCGAATTTAAATTAGCGTGCAGCGGCCATTTCAGCCGACCGTCAACTCCGCATAAAGCAAAAAGCAAACAAATTAAATTCCGAGATGGAAAGCCAAGCGTGCCCTATAGTTCCAACGACTGCAATATGATCACCGGCGAGTGTCGGCTGTATGCTTGTGCACTTGTTAGGCTGGCGATGTGTGGTCCTCGGGTTGCGGCCTCTTAACTCAGCCGCGACTGCGCGACTACTGAATTTATGTACATAATATTTATACTGGACGAGCGTCGGGCTCGAGCGTGTGCACGACATCGAATGGAAATGTGTAAGCGGTAGCAAATCGCCGTCGTGCCCGTCGTCGCCGTCATCGTCGTCGATGCCTGCCCACATCGAGCTTTATTTCATTATCCTGCTTCCTTTCGGGCTTTAATTGGCTATTTTATGAGGCCGTGATTACACAATACACGCGCGGCATAAACCCCGGTAATAGAGCGATAAATTAACTTATCATAAAAACAAGTTCAGACCTAGACTACAGCTAGACCATAGAGTTTATGATGAAACTCTTTAACTGGCAACGCGCCCCGTTGCATTTTCTGCGGTGCACGTCCATAAATGATTCGATAATGACGAAAAATGATGCGCAATTCTTTGTGCGCACGAATGCCTTGAAACGTGACCGCTACACGTCGAACCATGCCAGGCAATGAAGGAATGTCAGCGCGTCTGCGCCCTGAAGATCATTCCGAAGATGACATTCTCTCGACGGATTATTTATTGCCGTTAGGGGCCGCAGTCGGCTTGCGATTTTGTAATTATCGAGCTTGTCGGCGATGCGTCCAGCCATTCTTCGGCCATTCCTTCGTCCCCTTCGATCGCGGATTCGTTTTTGCGACGGACGAATGTCGCGAATCTCGCGTTATTCTTTTGTATCTAGGAATGCCCGTCAGACATTGAGTGTTCGGTGAGGTCGTGGAATGCACCGCCGGAATGTCATTCGGTTATCTTCTTTGTTCGCTAGGCGTTTGTTTTTTTTTCTGCTCATGCTCGTTTTTCTAAAGTGTGTCGATGCAATTTGTCCGACGTTGCAATGTCGTAATTAAATCTTCCTTCGAATTCGCCGAGAGATAAAAGAAGAAGCGACGCAGCACGACGCCTCCGAGGCGAAGGTTTAGCCTTTATCCTTTATCAGCGGCGTCATCGTATCGGCTTGAAGGACGACTCGAGGGCAGGGCGGGCTCCCGGGAAAGCCTGAGTTACCGCCGCCAAGATGCGGTTTTCCGTGTCGTCTTGATAAAGTTGGTTATTTCAGCGTCGAGCGCACCTTTTTGTGCCCCACTGGCACGGAATTAGATCGGCGAATCCACGGTAATTCCATTTACTTTGTTCCGCGCTGCTTTCTGGGACTAAGCTTTGTTGTTCGAAATTCGTCTTATTGCGTTTGAAAAATGCCTTCCGAGAAAAACAACTCCTTGGTTCCATTTCATTTGGTTCCAGAAGCAAATGCAAAATGCGCACATATGTTCGATATAAATTTCGTTTTTCGATGTGGACCAAGCTGAGGATGAGGATTTAGAGGTAGTTACTACCAGTTGGCACACTTAAGCTGTCGCCCTTTATTATCCCGCGCATCCCTCGAAAAGTGCCATAAACCGCGTTTTCGGGCGACCGCGTTGCTCCGGTCCCCGAAAACCGGGCTTCGTCTGGCTCACGCCTCCACGAACTTAATGAGGAAGCGCTTAAGCTAAAGCGCACCGCGCGTAGCACATGTGCGAGCAAAGGGATATGTTTGTTTCCCAAACACGCTACATATGTAACGAGGACCTCTGCGGACCTTCCACAACAGACGCAAGTTTATCCAGCCAACTTTGCCGAAAGTGTTAACCTGAGCGTCATAACAATATGAATACATTACACTCGGAGATCATAAAGTTTCCGACGGTTTGCAGGCGCCCCACATTCTGCATTCGCATTTCTAACCACCTACAACACTTTCCAGCAGTTTTGTTGTTTTGATGTTTGTCGTGTTGCGAAACTAACTAGTATCTTTGTTGTTGCAGGATCGACACGTCAAAGGTTCGTCTGGTAATCAAATCGATCGAGAACCAGAGGTGGATCCCAGCCAGGACTATCAACTTCTCCTGGGCTACGAGAACAGCACGCATACAGTGCTGAGGTTCCGTCGACGGTTGGATACGTGCGACAATCACGATATCGCCATCACTGTAAGTCAAACCAGAATGAAAACTGGCTTTCTTTAAAGCCTCTCGTTGGCACTAAACGCAGTCTATCTATAGATCGCGCGCGGTAATAATAATGCCATTATCGTCGTTAGTCGGTGCTCGCACGCGAGATACGAGCACCGCCGATCGGATATCGTAAAAGGTGCGTCACTCAAATGCGCGCGCCCGCTAATGGCTTGCAAATTCATCATCGTGACTCGTCGATTCGCGAGGTGCTGGGCTGTAGAGACACATGTTTTCGAAACGACTTTGAGTCTTCAGGCTCTTATCTTGAAGGATAATGCCTTCAACCCGGCACTTGTGGTTGTCTGGTGAATTTTTGAAGGCAAAACGTCGAAAACGTTTAAAAAAGCTATCCGAACGCGAGGAACATCATGCATCATGCTGGTGCTTAACGCGCCGAAATGAGAGACGCGTATCGAAAAACGTTGACAGTTTAATGGCACGTTTTTAATGGTGCGTTTAGTTGCGAAAACATATGGCCGACTGAAATCCCTTCGTCAAATACGTCTCGCCGGGCTAATTCCTTCGAAAACGAAACGGTGAGACGACGAAACGCAAACCATAAGGGTTGCCCTCGGCCCAATTACTTATGTTCGGTTTCCGACGTGGGATTATCGCCTTGCCGTTTTGCACACCGCTTCGCATCCTCACTTCTCCGTCGGTCCACATGGCGACCGAGCTTGGCAACCGCCCAGCGGCGAGAGAAAACTGCATCAGATTTTGTTCCCAGCTCTCGTGTGCGGTAAGCCCTCACATCCTTGGCGTGGCTGTTACCGGTTAAATATTTAAGGTGTTTTTCGTACCTTTGTGATCCTTGCCCACATATAAAGGACAGATAACGTGGCGTTGGCGGCGAGGCCAAATCGAAAATGTTTGTGTCAACAGAAAAGAAATCCTCTCTCTTGCCGCAAAACGCTGCCATCGAAAGATTCGACACATTTGTCATAGAACGCGGCAGTAAAACGTGTAAATTCCGAACGCATCCGCACCCGCCCCTGCAGTCGGCACGCGGGGGGGCAGTGCTGGCGCACTGTGCGAAAACGTGCTCTGCTTATTTATCGAACAAACAGAATTTATCTCCGCGAGCGCTTTCACGTCGCGTACGCCTGCACGCTCGGGCGGAATCGTCGATTAAATCTACTCGCTGGAAATAAGAAATTTCCAGCAACGGAAAGCAGTTAGTTTGCTTCCATTTTGCGCCGCCCCGACAGTCGGCTGAACGCGCGTGTTCCTTCAATTGGGGCAACTTTCGCAACTAATAGCGTTTACACCGCGCGTTTCTGCTGCGCCTAGCACAACCAGAAGAGGCGGAAAGAAGCTTTGAAGTCGTCGCCCCCGAAAATTATCGGTCCCCAGTTCCGGGTTTGTATTTGATCAAGCCGGGGACTTGGGGAGCGGTGTACGGCACCTCGCTTATCGGTCGCCGCCGCGATAATGGTTCATTTGCGCCGCCGCCTTGGTAAAAGCCGTCGCAAAGTTGCGTGAATAATTAAGAGATGACACCGAAACTCCTCCGAGTGCGGTCTCATAAATAACGACGACGGCGGCGCCGCCACCGCCGATACTCGCGACGCAGCTGCCGCTTATGTAAATATCGGACGGCGGCGGCGCCGTTTAAAGTAATAAGCTTGCTCCATTTGAGCGCAACTGCGGCCCGCAGACCATGCTCGCATTTAAAAGTTAAAGCACGCCGAAGTAATCTGATTTGGCGTCGGACGCGGTAAAAGGACACCGCACAATCCATTGTCTCGTCGCACTCTATCGGGCGAGCAAAAACAACGCGCGCCACCCTTTTTTCCGCCTTGCCGAATTCGCGACACCGCTGTCGCGTTGCGGCGTCGTGCTATGAATTTAAACTCGCTTAACAACAACGGGTTTTACGTATCATACCTGTCTGGTGTGAAAACTGTCCGTCAACGAGACACCTCTCGCACCTCATCACATCTTTTTACCTCCAGACATTTTTTTCATATTGGTTTTGTTTTTGTGTTGCAGAATGATACGATGCGGATTGTCTGGGCCTTCCACACTAAGGAACCTGTCGGCGGAGCGGTTGGGCCGGGGTCTTTACCTCAGCACGACGTCGAGTCACGCGGTACGCAATCGTTGTATCTGGTGCAACGTGCTGATCAAGATGCTCCCGGCCCGGAGGAGACCGCCCGTATCTGGGAGCTGCGCAATCCGAGCGTGGAACCTCCCACTCCGGGAGATACGCTCTACTGGTGTCGCGTTTTCCGCCTTCCAACATTGACCCGTAAACATCACCTCATCAGAGTAAGTTTAATCACTGCTTAAAATTAGATCTTTGCTCTATTCCGCAATGTTTTCTGTGCTTCAACAGTATGAACCTCTGCAAGGTGTAGTATCAGGTGCTGGTTGGGGTCTGCAACACCTTGTTCTCTATGAGTGCCAGGATAATCCACAAGTTCAAGCTCTCGCTGAAACCACGGGTCGTCAATGTTACAAACCCGGTTCTCAACCGCTTGGTTGTCATACGGTAGTTGCTAGCTGGGCGCGTGGTTCGGAAGGTTTCAGTTTTCCCCCGGAGGCTGGATATCCTTTGGAACCTGTTGGTTCGCGTTACTATCTTCTGGAAACTCACTACGCCGCGCCTACAGACGGATCAATCGGTTCTTTAGACGGTACCGGACTTCGTTTATTCTACACCCCAGAATTGCGTCGCCATGACGCCGGTGTTATTTCCATTGGAATGGATCCTAACTGGCGGCACATTATTCCCCCGGGTCAGCAGCGCGTCGTCTCGTCGGGTCACTGCGTGAGCGAATGCACGCGACAGGCCTTCCAGCCGGCGGGGATCAACATGTTCGCTGTGGTCATGAAAACGCATCGCATCGGACGGCAAGTGTCCTTGAGGCACATCCGCGGCAACGTCGAGCAGGCTCCCATCGCTGCGGACGATAACCTGGACGCCGACTATCAAGAATACAGACGATTAGGAACGCCGGCGAAAATCCTACCGGGTGATCATCTTATCGCCGAGTGCACGTACAACAGCTCCAGTCGGGCGGCCATCACGCTCGGTGGGCTCACCAGTCGGGAGGAAACGTGCCTCGTTATGGGGCTGTACTACCCCAAACAAAAAGAACTCACGAGTTGTCACAGTCTCCCTAGTTTACCTACTGTGTTGCATTCGTTGGGGATCCAAGAGCTTACACCGTAAGTATTAATATTTTTTATACCCTTGGAAAATTAAATTTATTTTATGTGTGTGTGTTTTGTGTTAACAGGGGTTCGAACCCAGTTAGAATTGCGGCTCCACCAGAACTTGCTGGGATGACCCTGGAGTCTCGTTTAGTGTCCTACGATTGGGACAATCAGTTCCATAGCTTTCAAGATGCCACAATGAAAGGGTCCTTCAAACCATTGTGTTGGACAGCATACAGTACTCTTCTACCTGTAAGTTATAAATCTCAAAAATTAAAAACTAATAAAACTAATATTTTGTATAATTTTGTGTTCTATAGGGTACGGACACTCTTGATTCACATTATCCCAACATCACACGTCCATTCATCAAACCCGGTGTAGACCAGTGCAACTATCGACGATACAGCACCGAAGGATGGCCAGGTGGCACACCAATTCTTGAGTTGGACAACAATCACATCGAGGGTGCCGCCCGCAGCAAGGTTTCACGCAGCAGCAGCCCCGCATCAGCCGAAGAATCGCTTGGTCTCAGCCGGTTCAACTCAGCGACGGCGTCCGCAAGCCCTGCAGCCTCCACACATATCCACCTGAGCATCGCGCTCGTCACACTTCTTCTTCTGCGATTTTACCATCATTGAATAAATATGTGCTCGCGCGAACAGTCACAGTGCGTGTTAACATAGTGAAAGAATAAAGTCGCTAAGAAGATATCAGACTGACTATAAACTAGAATGCGAATCGAATCGAGTCAAAGTGTTGTTAAGTTAATTGTTGGAACGTGTGGGGCCCTTGCTGTGAAGATAATCAAGAAACTAGGAAGAATGATTTCGACCGATCAACAGTGTACAGTGTAAAATATTTAATGAACGATTGGACGGGAAACTCTTGTAAAGAGCTTTCAACGTTTAAGCAGAAATGTGCAAACAGTGATACGATTTTTACTGCAAACTCTGATGGAGATTAATTTATCATTGATTGAGAAGATTAAAGATGGAATGCAGCGGTGTGTATAGAAATGTAATTTAATAAACGTGACGGCCAATCTTCGAAATGCGAGTTTTGGAATTTGTGCCGTCATGCTAGTCCGTTTCGGCGGCCCGAACGCAACTCGGGACTACATCGGAGACTGCCCGTTGACGTAATAACCACGATACTATAAATTAGACGAGAAATGATTACAGAAACAAAGAAACTAAACGTAATAGAACCAATAAACGCCATTTTTCGCGCCGCCGTCTGGAGCTGTGATGCCAGTAGATTTATAAGGCACTTATTAACTAAAATTTAGTAAAACTATAAACTGAAGGACTTCGAAGAATGAAGACAAATGAAACTATTGTAAATTAACTTATTCTATTGTCACCTTATCGATATTTTCCGCAGTGTATATTGACATTTGTTCATGTTTTTCGTTGTTTTCCACCCCGTGCGCGATTGTTTAAATGTTAAAAACCGGTTTTACTGTTGTGTAATTAAGTACGTATTTAACGATATGTAGATGGAACCCTTTGGAAACGCATTAAAAAAAATACCACGCTGACAAAAACAAACATCGTTACCTATTAAATCTAAATTAAAGCGAAGCTTCAACGTTTTTCCGAAGCTATTTTGTAAGGTTGTAATATCATTATAAACGAAAATGTATGAAACAAAACGCGAAATAAAACCCTCCCCTTTGGATAAAATAAAAGATGTGTGTAATTTGTAAATTATACAACAACGCGGACATGAATTTCACATTAACCGAGCTGTGGCGCATTGGCGTGGCGGGAGTAGGAAAAAAACGCAGCGAAATGAACGCGCGCGTGGAAAACGTAGAGCAATACGAGCCGGAGTAAAAATGAAATGTGAATTTCATGTTCGTCGCGCCGCATTGTATAATAATGTAAAATCGCTCTCCCCCCATTTGTGTATAAAGTATTTATAGGTCTCGAGACTGGTGCTATATAAGTTTAAATAATTCATTTCCCTTTCGTGTACAATTCGAAGCGTTTTTCCGCGCCGCGGTGGCCGGGCTTTGCTTTCATTTATTCAAAAACCACCGTTCGAAATCACTGTTGGCCTCGCGTTTGTTACGTCTCTATAATTGCTCCCGCGTTTCTATTAAAGCCCCCTCACAACTCTATTTCTATAATATTTCTGCGATTCTCACTGAATTTCCGTGTTGTTTGAATGACTACTATGTATAATGATGCAATTATTTATTTAACTAATTGTTAGCTGAAAAAACCAAGGGAGAATGCAACTCACACTTATACACACGCCACATACACTAACAAGAGAGAAGAATAAGGGTTGGATACGAAAGAAAAACTAAATTAAACGAAACGTATTGAATGAAATGTGCAACACGAAACAAAGAACTATTAAATGAGTATATATAAAATTGAATATAAAATCTTGTACAGTGTAGATATCTCTTGTGTAATATATTTTATAAAATAAATATCGGTAAACATCTAGACAACATTTAAATTTTGTGTTTTATTTAAATTTTACTTACAGTTTGAAATGGAGCGGCTTGTTTCGTGAAGCGACGTGTCGCAACTGAATTGACGGTTGCAAATTGTGCGCGCATGCGCTCAACGGTTTCTTTTGAGCGCGAAATTCAAAAATTTTAAAAATAAAATGTAAAATTAACGAAATAATGTGTTTTATTCAAATAAAACACAAGTAAAATTTACAATTTAAAAATAAAATGTAAAATTAACGAAATCATGATTTTTCCTGCTGACATAAGTTTAATTCATGATAAATCCCTTTGATTTTGCCTTTTTTTAATCCCTCGCTCCCCCATCGTAGAAAACATCTGCGAGTTAAGCAAAATGCAGCACGCTACGTGTTTTCGCCTCGGGGCCCTGTCTCCTGGAAGCTCGGCTGGTTAATGGCAGCGATAACAAGCGCACCGAAGACAAAACACGTAATGTACGCGCCCGCGCGAATAAAGATCGAGGCGGCGCGATAGACGCGCGAATGTAGATTAGCTTATCTCGCATCTGGTGGCGCGCTACCACACACGAATTTAATCAAGCCGCGCGGCGAAGACGGAATCGTGCGCCGTAGAGTTTTGCGAAGGCGGGTGGCAGGAGAGGGCACGAGCAAAGCGCGCGTCTTCTGGCCTTCTGGGTCGTTCGAATTGGATGCGTGAGACCGAGATAAGGTGGCTTACAAGCAAACAGAAACATGGAAGCTCAACGGTTTGCGCCAGGCATGTCTCGGAATGAATGTAAGAAACTACGAAAAGCTTGTTGGGAGCTTGTGTCTTCTCCCCGGCTGGTGCGCCACGGCGATTGAAGTAACGAAGTAACGACACAACACGGTAAGGCACAAATACGGGCGCGTAACGAGCGGAAGAAAAATAAGAAGGTGTGAGGATGAGGATACATACGTGTAGTTACTGTAACGAATACAAAGAATTCACAAGACGAGAAGAAAAAAACGAAATAAAAGTTTGCGCAAGCAACGAGAGAAATAAATTGGTGACTGCTTCCACTGTTTTTCAGCGCAGATAACTGGCTGATTTTTTTGGGGGCTGAGAGTAAGATTTTTCACTTTGTTCTAGAAACGTCAACAAGAAATATATGATATTTTTCAGATGGTTAAAAATTGATGCAACATTTCTAGACGCAGGGGTGACTTGTGTTTGTTTTGTGATTTGACATTTTGTTGCATGTCTGATTTGGTGATGTCCAAAGCAATTTCACTTCATATTTAATTCTCAAGTAGATAATAACTGCGCAAACTGAAGACAAACTACTCAGACGGTAACATGAAACATGAAAAGTGTATTTCCTTTGTGTGTTTAAACATGAGCAAGAATTAAATTCTTGAACAAGTATCAAATCCGATAAAGGCTTTTCATACAGATTTTATAAAATGGAGGGTAAACATGAACGACATTTACATCTACCCCTCTAAATCTTGTATTCCTTTTTTTACTGTTTAGTTGATGAGGATGACACGGGAAAATGAGGAGTTGAGGCGAAACAAGAGAATTTGATGTGCGCCCAAACCAAGCGTCATCATTTCAAAGAGGGAGACTTGGCTCTGAATTTAAGCCGTAGGGGAAGAAATTGCAATTCGGCAAATTTCGAAAAGTGCAGTTTGCAATCAGGTGCGCGTCGACTTATGCCCCAGAGTTTGCAAGTCCTTCAAGTTACTCCTTCACCTTTTCAGCTGCCTAGGGGTGCACACCCTCCCTCGACTTCATTTAATTTAATTCCGCAATTTAACTTTTAAGTTTTACGTCGCGTTCATCCTTCGCGCGGCTTCTTTTCATAATTCTCTTGTTTTAATTGTGATTTCAACTTTTTGCCACCACTTGGTGATTCGTTTTTATTATTTCTTATTATTTCATTTCCGCTTTGGCGTCCGCCTTCGTTGACTTAGCGTTTGATTTTAATTAAATTTATAAATGTGTTAGCTTCTTAAAAAGTCACTTCATTTTTTCTTTTGTGACGTTTTATTTTGACGGTGTGTCAAGTTTGGGGAAATATTTATTTTCCAAAACGCATTTATGTACTTACCTTACCTTCCGGCAGCAGCACGCTTTGGCTTTTTTGCTGATTGATACTTGGTGAAAGCGTCATTTTTTATGAAATCTACGGAGCGTAAAAAATGATGTAAAAATGCGAAAAGTGAATGACATCTTAAAAAAATCGTGAAAGGAAGTTTGGTTCAGCCGCTCGCGAAGAAATCCATTTCGGAGATTATTTCTTTATTGACAAATTATAAGGTTTCGGTTTTTGGGTACCACACACGTTCAATCAACGTGAAAAAAATACAGGGCACGGATAAGGGTTAAGTTAAACATATTTTTTATTCTGGATTTCGTTTCAGACAACGAATAACAATAAATCAAAAGAAAATAACTCAAAATTTAAAAAAATCAGTTAAAATTTTTTCGCTCATTTAAAAAAAATGTGCAAAATTGTTAGATTAACTTGTTTTATTCTGATATAATACAAAAACACAATATAAACAAATATGTCTAACTAAATAATAAAATTGTGATAACACTCAGTATATTTTAAAAAATAGTAAATGTAACAAGTTTGAACATTCTAAGCAAATACGTTCACTCAAATTCAAACAAATTTAGCAAATTCTAAAATTAGCAACTCCAACATGGCAACTATCAGAATTCTCCAAATTTGTTAAATAATGTAATCATTTGAATTGTATTTGTTTAGCTTTCTTCGCTCGTCAGTAACGCCGGCACCTTGGAACGCCAGAGTATTCGAATTTCGACTCGACTGTTCCTGTCAGATAAAGATTGATTACGTTTATCGTTAAGTCGAGGATTTGTACGACCCGCAGCACATTGGTGCTCACTCACTCATTCAAAAGCTTCGGCTCTGTACGCATACGCACGCACCCGCAGGTATCGTACGTATACGAATATGGCAAACACTCTAAAACGTTAGAACGTTAGAATGCCGCGGAACGTTTCCTTCTTGGGAGTTGGGTAAAACACACGAGAGACGCCAAATGTGCCGATGGCGAAACGCATACAAATTCCACTTTTAGCTAAGAATCCAATCCATCAAAAGCACCTTCTTTCCACCTACACAAATTTCAACTTTCAAAAGTTAAAAATGTTTCCCGAAAAAAAAAAAATACATACTAATAAATTTTGTTTTATTTAATTAGTAAATGAAAGAAGCGTTACCAATGCTTCTATAAACTTTGCGCAAACAAAAGCAGAAGCCTGAAAGCGTTCGAAACAAAAGCGAAAATCTCAGAAAGTGCGAAAAGCTTAACGCGCAATTAATCAGCGTTAAAAGCGTCGGTTTCGCGACGTGCGATCGGCGTAAACGAAGTTTTATTGAACGGCGGCAGGTAAATTTTAATTGCCAGCCGAGAGCGCAAACAGAAAAATCCCACCGCCGCACGTGGCCCAAACATCCATTGGAATTGTCTACGGAAACAGCATTACCAGACGAAAAAAACCGGTGACCAGCACATGAAATAGGAATAAACGGATTGTATGTAGTTGTTGGCGTCGATTCCAATGCACCCATGATAAACGGGGCGATAAACAAAGCGATCGATTCGCGTGCGCGCCGAATGAAAAATGCAAGCGGGCATTAAAACGAGCTTTCCTCGGTCGGACGGCATCGACACGTCCGGGCGTCAGAATTTACATTCACGAATTTCCCGATTGTGGATATTGTGGCCGCCTGCTAACCACGTCACTGATGAGATAAAATATTTTCCACGCTAAAATTTAATTTTTAGCTAAAAATACAACCGCAGTAACAGAAAAAAGCAGAAATAAATATTTTCTGCGTTTATCTGCTTAAAAATTAAAAATTAAAATCTTAATGTACTTTTAATTAAATTTTTATATACCTTAGTAAACTTCCATGAAATTTACTAGTCTTCCTTTGGTCTATGTAAGTAGTAGGTACTTAAGTACGTTCAATATGCTCAAGTGCGTCCGTCCGGTGTTCACCTCTTCTTCTTCTGTGTTATTTTAGTTTTTGCCGTCGCCGTCAACAACCACTGAAAAATAGTTTCGCTGAGATCTACATACAATGAGGTTATGTTCATAGAATCATGGGAAAATCACAAAAACAATCTACAAATTATTTTCCCTCTTCTAAAGCTTGAAATTCCTTGAATTTCGTGCATAAACCGGAATATACGAGTTGTTCTAAGCGAAGCACTGAGTGCTCGTTGATGATTTTATGAAATTGTATTCTTTGTGCCTTTTCAGTCTTCCGGCGAGGGAGTTCGCAGGTAGTGCAATGTAATTTCCGGAAATAACATTATTTCCAGAGGTAACTTGGTCACTTTATTAGCCGCAGCCCGGAGAGCGCACCACTAAAGGTAGTTAATAATATTCGCTCGTTTTCCGCGTTGTGAGAGCAAAACAAAAAATGCTACAGTTGCTTGCTAATGAAAATACTAGCAAAGCTCGCAGTTGCAAAAATAAACCAGGAAAAAGTATGAAATTAAAAGGCGTCGCTATTTTAATGTGGAAATAACGTAATATGAAAGGTGACAGCACTTGTGGAATGAAATTCGCTGAGTGACATATGACATAACCTCATTTGAATGCGCTTTGTTTTGTTTTGAGTTTAGAAATAGTTTTATAATGTGCTGTATAATATCGTGTTTTCCGGTTTAGCGGTGCATCGCGACGAAACACCTAAAACTCTCTAAAGCACTATTTTCGAGCGTAATTTCGTTACACGCCGGGCGCATTTTGTTGTTCGGACAGTGGTTCTCTTGTTTTGCGCTCCGCAAAGCTCGTTTTCCTCGGCCGGGTTTTTAGCCCGCGAGCGCCATTTGCTCGTCGACTCGAGACGCAACAACGGCAAGAAGTACAAAAACTAACGCGCGCACAAAGCAACTACAACATCAAACAACAACGAAAAAAAAATTGAATTTAAATACATAAAGAGCAAAAGCGTACAACATTAACAATGTACAAAGTGATTTTAAGATCAAAATTTATAAAATTTTTG